ATTGATATTTTATCGAAATTATATTTTTATAATTATATTTTAATAAATTTATAACTAAAAAATTAATTACTGTATAGGTACTTAAAAAAATTTTTAAAAAGTCAAATTATGTAACCATATTTTTTTATTTTTCTGTACTTTTATATTTTTTCTAGGGGATAAATTTAAACTTAAAAAGCAAAAAAATAATTTTTAAAAATATGTCACAACGTTCACAATCAGTTACTACTTTTTTTTACTCTATTTTTATTACATTTTCATTACTTTTCATATTATTTCATTTTCTAATTTTATTTAAATTAAATATAAAAAAATAATAAAAGTAAAAATATTTCAGACTATTGATTACTGTAATTTTTTTCTAAACATATTTTACTAATTTTTGTAATTAGTTGATAAAAATTTGCAACGCGGTAATATTAGTGAATAATAGAAAGAGGTCGAAACTTTAGAATCACCAAGTATTCAATATTATGAGACCTAAGAGTCTCATACACGTGTATATCTCATGTATTATTAAACTGGACTTATTAAGTTTTGGTTTGCTACTCTCTAGCACGAAAAGCTTAGTGAACATTCTACAATATATTAAATTTTCCTAAAATAGTGTCTTTTCGAAAATTTTGATTTAGAATCTTCATAAATTAACTGCATTGATTAAAAATCTCATTAAAATAAATTTCCCATAAAGTAATAAAATAATTTTTACTACAAAATATTTTCGAAAAAAAATTAACTTTTAACTTTTTTATTAACTTTTTTTTTATTTTATTTTAAAATTAAATTTTAACTCAAATTCATTATTTAAATTATTTTTATAATCTTTCAATTTAATAAAATTTTAATTTCTAAATATTTAATAACTAAATTAATTAATTAATTTCTGAATTAATATTCAATTGTTATTTATCTAGAGCGAAAATTTGTCATTGTTCACTGATAAGAAAATTTTCTATTATATAAATTATGAATATACGAATTAAAAAATTAATTTTCAATTCAAAAAATTAAAATAATAAATGGAACTTTTTATTCTATATTTGTCAAAGTTGACATAAAAAACAAAAATAAAATAAAATAAACAGAAAAGAGAAGAGAAGTCATAGAAAGATAAAAATATGCAAAAGACAAAAATAAAATTTATAAAAAGAAAAGTCATAGAGAGATAGAAATATCCTTTTTTATATAATAGAGAGAAAATAATAAAAATGTTAATAACAAAGGTGAATGTAAATAATTTCTGTCAAGTTTTATCGTTTGTCTTTCAAAAGAACAATGTATAATTATTATTTTCTCTCATTGTCACTGAGAAAAATAAAAAGACAATGGTTTCAAAAATACCCACATATAAAACTCAAGTTGTAGATTTATCAGAACGGTTTATACAGTCTAGACTCTCTCGAGATGGCTACAGGGTATTTAAAATAAAAAAAAAACACTTCAACCTTTAAGGCGATATTTACCCTTTTATAATAAGCTATCATTAAAATACTTCTAATTTAAACTGACTCTTTATATATATAACTTTTTTTATATATATTCAATCGTTTCATATTATTAGAAGTCAACTGAGTGACGTACTTTATGTAAAAAATATATTAATATATCTACATAGTGTGGGAGAGTGTGTATTTTAAAAAATACCGCAGAATAATTTTACATTCAAGTAATAAATTATCGATCACAAAAAATTTTTCAATCTAACTTAAAATAAATGAATTATTTTAGTAAAAAATGAAAAAAAAAATAAAAAAAGACAAAAGACAACGAAAGAAAACGAAAGACAACAAAAGAAATAAAAATAATAAAATAAGAAATAACAAGAAGTAAGAAGTAAATGAAAAAAGAACTAAAGAGTATAAAGTAAATCAAAATATAAACGAAAATAAAAATATCAAAATTTAAATAAATTACGAGAAAATAAAATTAAATAAAGAGATTTGTAAAAAATAACTTTCCCGCATCTACAGAGAAAAACATTTATAAATAAAAAATCTATTTATTCCACAGAAAGAACAATAATTTAACATAAGATTAGTGACCCACAATATTAATTTTATACATTATATTTTTAATCGATAATTTCATTTTTCTAATTTTAAACCAATGATGTATTATACGTTATTGAAAGTTGTGTGTGACGTCACACATTGTGAACTACATATTCATTTAAAAAGCAGTAATAAATTTTCACGCCAATTTGAACCAATTAAAAGAAAATAAAAATAATTAATGAAAATTCCGCATTTCTTTAGAAACATGATTATATATATATATACAAATATAAATTGAATGTCCCAGATTGTCAATGACTATATATATTTGAAGAAAAATAGAATATAATGATCCTCAATAATCGTTTGTATTTATTATACAAGCAATTAGGACTTTTAACGTTTTAACATTCCAAAGATTGTTGATACGTGAAATATAGAATTTCGCGTTGCAAAATTTTTTTTTAATATAATTTCTTTTGTTCAAATCTTTAAAAATGCTAATTAATAATGACAAAAAAGAAGAGAGAGAGAAAGAATCTTTTAGAAATTAGAAATTTATCCTAACAACTTTAAAATAGGTTCGACAATTTCTCAAAAAATTATGAAACGCACAAAATTTAATTACAAAAAATTACATTTATTTTATCAACAATAATTATTATATTATTAATACCTATAAATATTTAATCTAATACTATTAAAACCAAACTGGAATTATCTGGACGGGAAACTGATACTTATATCCCCCTGTAGTTCATCTCATTTACGAGAGAGTTTTCATGCCGTCTAGGCGGGAATTCACCAAACTATAATGGCGCGAAATTCAAATTTAACTAAACAAGATACAAGCTAAATATTTAAAAAAAAATTTTAAATAGAAAAATATAAATATAAAAGTACAGAATTAATAAAATTCTCCGGAGTTAGCGTTTAGCGTCAACGTTTGGCGTCAATGCTTAGCGTCGAAAACTATTCTTCGTAGGTTTTAGAGATAAAACTGTCACTAATTTCACCTCTTTTATTTCCCTAGGGAGTTAAAAAAATTTTCCAGAGTACATTTTTAGCTAAAAACCTTCGAAAAAATTCTTCTATTCTTTAATGTTTTGTAAATAAAATATTTTTGCGACGCTCAGCGTCGACGCCAACTACAGGGACCTATTAATAATTATTAATAACTAATATTAATAAATAATGTATTATTTATTATTAATAATTATTTACAACTAATATTAATCAATAATGTATTATTTATTATCATTAATTATTATTTATAATGTAAATTTGATTCAATATTAAATTTGGGACCCCGTGGAAATTCTATTGAAATTATTCTGGGGGAAAAAATTATATTAAAAAGACAATATTTGTGGTCGAAAATTCCCAATTAAAATTGTAATCTTTTGAGTAAATGAAAATTAATTTATCCAAGTGTAGACTATTGTATGATTCATTTCTGTATCATATAATGACTACGAGGAATAACTTGCTTGCATATTGTTATGGTATGATATCAGCCATCTGATTCATAACTATAACACTTTAGATGGAGGTAGAATGCATAACAATGGAAGGTGGTTCACCAACAGGAAGAACGATATCGATTAATAATGCTAATGAAGCATTTTGTGTAAGTTGGAGGAGCCATTTAAAATTGAATTATCATTACTTATTATCAAGAGCTCAACGTTAATTTTCTTTAAAAACAGCTGACACTTCCTTTTTAAATATTATCTTTCTAAATAATACAAATTTACATTTTAGTGCTTACGAATAATTGTAACCAACACAATATGGAAAACAAAAAGAACAAACATTATGGAACACAACATAGAAAACAACACACAAAACAATAAAAACAACAATACAGAAAACATAAAATATTTTCTCAAATTAATATATAATATAAAGTTAAATTTTTAATTAACGGACACCGACAAAAAAAAGCGATATTACAATTTATTTCACTTGTATTTGCATAAAGCAGACAAACTTGAATTTAATGTCGCAGAATGAATAACAATATTGAAAATTGGATCCGATTGTTTATTTTGCTTTTCAATCGAGTGAAATCAACAAAGCACTTTTGATTAAACAGCGTTTCGACAAGTCCAATTAATGATGAGTTTAGAGAGTTTTCAAACTGTGCAGGGAGAAAAAAATTGATCGTCAGTTGTTGATAAAGTTGCCGCGAGTAATTATCGTTAATTGTTAAATCGTTAAAGGGTTTCTTCCGGTTTTCTTTAATTAATGAAATTGCATTTCTCGCCAACAGACTATTATTGGTCAAATTGTTAATTGCATTAACCTTAATAGTGGTTCATTTCAACTGTACGATAAACGCTCTGTCATCAGCCATATAAACAATATTCAATATCATATCACTTATTTCAATTTAGTTTCTTTTCATAAGAATAAGAATATAGTTCTTTTACATAAGAATATAGTCTTTTAGACTGAGACAAGAATTATTTTGCTTTTATGTCAAAATAAAATTTGTAAAAAAAAAAATGTTGGAGAATTTTATTTCGATATGAAGTCAAAATAGTTTTGTCTGATGGAAACAAAAGGGGTAACGTATTTTTTGGTTTTGTTTGAATTTTTTTGGGAATATGAATGTTGTACACTTATAAAAATTGTAGCTGATATTTTTGTGTATTGTTTTGGTATTTTTAGAATCGTACGACCAGGTAAAGGTAATATATACTGGTTGTACTACTAATGTTAATGTTCATCGAAAATTTCTATCAGTATATTTTAGTGATGCACGTGAAGCAAGTTTCTTTCTGCAACCACTTTTATAAAGAGAGGAAACTAAAATTTAAATATTTACAGTAGTTTTTCTAAGGATATTAAATTGAGACAAAAAAACGTAACGTTTTTTTGTCTCAATTTGATATCCTTAGAAAAAGAGTGTTTTAATTATTTTGACGAATTGCTGGACGTGCATTACTAGTGTTGTTACTCTAAAGGATTGTATGGAAAGTATAGTGAAAATGTGCATACCGTGGGCATCAATTGGTCAGTGGACCTAACCCGTGTAACCTTGTTCCTGTACAATATCCTCTTGACGAGTTTCTCCATAGGCTGATTCCATTTCATAAAGCCAACATACAGAAGATAGAAACAGAATAGCACAAGAGCCTCGTACCAATGTATATAGTTATCACGAAAGAAGTAGATTAGAGTAATGAGGCTAATGCTGTAAAAGCTGCAATCGCGAAAGAGTGGCCACCATGTGAGCGTGAGTACGGTCCTTGAGAAGATGGCACACATGCCGATGACAAAAAGAATATTAAAAACTGCCGAACCGACGATGGTACCAATTCCTACGTCGTCGAACGAGACGAACACCCCAATTATCGAGGTAAAAAGCTCAGGGGCGGAACCCCCCGCTGCCATGAACGTGGCACCGGCCACATCATCAGCGATATCAAGTTTCTCGATAATCACGTCGAGGGACGGCACGAAGAATTCGTCACAGACGATTGCCAAGGCGACAAACATATACACGACGCCTACAACGTGAAAAATAACAGCACCACGACGTCTTTCTTGAAGCGTGAAGAAATCTTTTGGAAATAGCGGCGCCTTCTCCTCGGACATATTCCCACCGACCTTCTTATGATGATGATGATGAATCGAGCTATTGTATCCCTCTGGGTCCCAGTTGACATCGGAATTTAAATTTCTCTCTGTCGAAATTGATGAGGTCTCATTGGGTATTAACGTGGAGACGCTCTGCTGAAGCGGAACCGGAGTGTTGGGTGCGGGCCGATGTCCCATCGATGACAATGGATTCATGACCAACATCATCAGTGTCACCAGCAGTGCCGAACTCCAAAGCCGGTCACGGTCTCCGGAATGTGTCCGTCCATGAGAGCCTGCAGGAATAGGACCTGCAGGATGAGGACGTTCTTGTTCCACCTCCTGCATCGTGTGTCGCGCGGAGGTCGCACCTCAGGGAAGCCCAGTTAAAGGTCGGGTCATGCCGTCGAGACAATTGGCGGTCGCATCCTCTTCTCTCTCCTGATAAGGAGTCCTCACTTTTGTACCACGTTCCGTTTTCTCGACAACTTTGCTCAATCAGAAGAGCAATTTTCGTCGTCTTCGTTTGTCGCTCTTCCTCCACCTCGTCGTCGTCGTCGTCACTCTCGACCTTTGTTTCCTCCACGTCGTCGACGTCGTCGTTGTTGTTATCGTTTTCTTCTTTCTCGCGCTCACTGTAATACCGTTCGCAGTGTATGGATGGCATATAACCCAATATATGTTTAACAGGAGCAGCAGAACGGCGCCCCCGCCGCGATGCCCGCCCGCTGCACACTGGAACAACCCTGTTCCGTTCCTTTCCGTTCGTGTCGTTCTTTCGTTTCCTTTCTCGCGTACCCCGTACACACAATACTCGCCTCGATTCACTATCTCTTTTACTCTCGCCACCACACCACACTAGACTGTCCTCCTTCCTCTTTCGCGTGAACCAACACTACTTATTCCTGCCCTCTCGCTTCATCCAGAGGTGGTAGGTCGTAGAAGCTAGCGGATGAGCGCGCGCGCGCGCAACCTCTCGCCGGGACTCTCGCTCGATATTGGAGTCAACTCTACAACACAACTACTACAGGAGTGCTACACCAGAGCATATAACGGGTGTCGCCTGTTCAGACTCCTTCCACCAACACTAGAGCCTCTTGTGAACCTTCCTTCCTTCCTACCTCTCCACCAACTTCCTTCCTTCCCAGTAATCGTAATTCCCAACGTCTCGATCGTCCAACTAATAATGGCCCATAACCAATCAATACACATACATTTGGTCCAATCATTTAAAAATCACAATAAAGCTAATTTTATTCACTTTCCACAAAACAAAATCATCCACTCGAGATCCATAAAGAACCCTCGATCCAACACTTGAAAAAAAAAAAAAAAGAAAAGCCTCCCTCCACCCAATAAAACACCCTAATTTAATATTATTCCTCTTAGTTACTTCTTCCTCAACATACAAGAATAGTCCAAAATAATTAGAAACGCATTCAGAATCAAAAAGAGTACTGACACAACTGGGGTTACTTTAGACATTTAGAATTCCGAACACATTCTTTTTAAGTAACTAAATATTACCTTTTTCAAAATAATCTTCAAGTTATCAGCAAGCTTACTGCAAGTAGCAAAATGTCCCAACTCTGCACTGATAGAAACGAATAGTTGTGACTACTAGTTGGTTAGTAATAAGTCGTTGCCTTTTATTAGTTTCTGTCACTATTTAGTTAGTAATTCCAGACATTCAGTTAGTAACGTAACTAATTAAATAGATAGACCGACAAAAGAAGTAGTTGAATCAACTAATAAAATAGTTGAATTTACTAATAAAAATAGTAACACCAACTAATAAGTTAGCAGCAGTTTACTAACTAAAAATAATTTCGGAAAAAATGGTTACAATAACTTTTCTTTCCTCTCAGTGCGAAGCTTGTAAATTTGCACCGAAAACAAACTAACCAAGCTTGTAGTAAACTTACATATTACTCTCTACATTCAAATTAATAGATTTTTGACTAATATAATCAGTGCACTCTAAATCTGAATCAGTAAAAATTTCACTGATTTCAATTCAGTGGCCCAGTTTTCTTTAATGAATCAGTGGAATTTCACTAATAATCAGTGGTTTTTACTGATTCTCAGTGAAATTCCACTGGTGAATTAAAAGAAAACTCTCTCTAAACTTGAATTAGTAAAAATGTTTACTAATTTGAATTAGTGACTGACTTTTTGCTTTTGAATTAGTAAATTTTACTAATAAATAGTACTTTCTACTAATTTCTTAGTAAAATTTAATAATTCAAAAGCAAAAAGTCAGTCACTTATTCGAATTAGTAAACATTTTTACTGATTGAAATTTAGAGAGCAGTATGTGAACTAACACGAAAAAAAATTTCACCTGGAATAGCGATAAGTTTCTTTAGAATAGCGAAAGTCTTAACTGAAATACGTTAAAATTTTGTTAACAGTAAAATTTGTAGGTGCTCGAGGTAAAATTTTTTTCCCTGACTAATTCAGTTATTTCCGGTTGTAGAATTACTGATCCAATCAGTGAATGTACTAGTAACCGAAGAAAAACCAACATAAACCTTAAAATTAACTGATAAATTAGTAGTTTCGACTATAATAAATAACACTCTTTAAATCTAAATTATTAGAATTTTATAGTATACTAACAAATAGTAAAATTTCGTTAATTGTTAGTAATTTTTATGGACTTTTTCCATGTTTGATATATTTTGCTAATTTCTACTAATATTTTACTAATTTTATATTTCTACTACCTGTTAATAACTCAACTCTGCTCTCTAAATTTGAAATAGCAAAAATGTCCACTAATTTAAATTAATGACTGACTTTTTACTTCCGAATTAGTAAATTTAAATTAGAAAAAATTATTAACTAATAAATTAGTGGAAATTACTATTCATTAGTAAAATTTACTAATTCAAAAACAAAAAGTCAGTCACTAATTCAAATTAGTAAACATTTTTACTAATTCAAATTTAGAGAGTGGCTGTAGAAGTTATTAAAATTCTACTTATAGTTAGTCGAGTTTTTCTAATTTAAATTTACTTCCTAAAATTGATTTAGTTAAAAATATCTAATTTAATAGTAAAAAGGTAGTCACTGATTCAAATAGTAATAGCTTTGCTAATCAAATGTTAATGATGACTAATTATTAGTTAAATTAACTTTTAACTAAAAATTTTTATTAAGGTCCTAAAAATAGAGAAAATAAAAATTTTTATAACGAATTCAATTAGTCAAATTTTACTATTTTCTTAATTATTTATTTACTAACAATTAATTAGTTTTAGAGCTTTACATCTTTTATATCTACTAATAATTATTTATTTTTCACTATTTACTGAAGGAATTAGTAAAATAAAATACTCTCTAACTTTGAATTAGTAAAAATGTTTATTAATATTAGAATTAGTGACTGACTTTTTGCTTTTGAATTAGTAAATTTTACTAAAAAAATTAGTAGAAATAACTATTTATTGGTAAAATTTATTAATTTCAAAGCAAAAATTCAGTCACTAATTCTAATTAGTAAACATTTTTCCTATTTCAAATTTAGAGAGTAACAAACTCATAGTGAAAAATATCTGAAATATTTGTTAATTTTGACTATTATAGTAGAAAAAAGGTAGTGAAAAAAATAGTAGTACCCAAAATCACCCCAACTGTCCAAAGTTACCCCAGTTGACAGTAACCAAAGAATTTAGTACAGGATTGCCCCACAAATTGGAATTTATTTTTTCCTAACTTTTCCTTAATTTTCAGATAAAATTTTTACTTTTTCCCCAAAAGAAATTTAAATTTGTTCATATACAATGAAAGTATCTTTTTTTACCCAGTTAACTGGGGTAAGTATGGAATAAAGTTTAATTATTCATAAAAAATATACTACAAATGTTTTCAAACTTTAATAATTTTTAACAATTCAAAAAAAAAATATCACAGCAAGATTGCAAAATAATTTTGATAATTGCTTTAATTTATGTAAATAATCTATTTTAAAGGACTTTTATATTTTACATAATTACATAAATATCTGAATAACACGAACTAACTAGTTTCAAAAATTATAAATTCTCTTCTTTCAACACAAATATATTTTCTATTTAAAATGCGTCTTGACTGGAATCGCGCAGTAATTGGTACATTTACCCTACTTTCGACAAAATCGAAAATAACAAAACCCTGAATTTTCACCAATTTTCATGAACTGCAGCAATCCTGTACTAAAAAAAAATATTTACTCATCACAATCAAACCCCTTTTCAAGTGAAAAATTCCAACCCTCTATATAAAAATAATATCGCAACATTTCTGACTTTAATTCCTCTCCTTTTTTTACCTCTTCTAAATGTATAAAATCACAGCCAACATTTCCATTGTTTTCAAATGAAATAAAAATCAATAGACGACCAATTTTTAATATAGATGAGATTTAAGAGTACTTGAATCTCTCAATCGCTCTTGTGGACTTTGCTTGTTTCCTTCTTCCTTCCTTCCTTCCTATAATACTCATATATATATACATATATACAGTTTTCATCTACTCCGGGAGGTTCAATGGCTCCAGTCTTGAACGAGCCAACTACCCAATGGGAAGTAAACGATTGGTTCAATAATGGGCCATGCTTGGCGAACTCCGTTCCATTATTGGAACATTAATGGCAACCATCATTGGACCACCAATGGTTTAAACTTGGGATGATCACGCTACTGCCAATGATCGGTAGCCAAGCATCGGGCCAATATTAGTTGCCAAGGAATTGCCAAGGAAACAAAATCGATTTTCAAAAGCTTGATTTTTTATTGGCAGCCAACAAAAAACAAAGGTTTTGAAAATTGATTTTTTTTAATTATTAATTAAAATTTATTTTTAAAAAATATATTTTTCAAAAAATTATTTTTTAAAAATATATATTATTTTAAATTAATAGAACATATTAATTTAATTTGTCACCTCTGGTAAAACAAAGATGAAAGACTGATAAATTCCCTCACTTTATATCTTACAGTGGAGGGATAACTGTGAATGTCTTTGCGAGAGAGGAGCAGGTACTTATAGAGTCAGTGAAACAGGTCACAAGCGAGAAGAAATCACTAGCATGCACTCTGGCGGCGCTTGTCGGAACTGTTTTCTGGCGCGCATGCATATCCTGACATTATCGACGCAGCGCTTGGCAACCAACGTTGCGCCACTTCCGACAAGCGCCGCCAGAGTGCATGCTAGTGATTTGTTCTCGCTTGTGACCTTTCTCACTGGCTCTATATAAGTACCTGCTCCTCTCTCGCAAAGACATTCACAGTCATCCCTCCACTGTAAAATATAAAGTGAGGGAATTTATCAGTCTTTCATCTTTGTTTTACCAGAGGTGACAAATTAAATTAATATGTTCTATTAATTTAAAAAAATATATATTTTTAAAAAATATATTTTTTTTAAATAAATTTTTGAAAAATATATTTTTTAAAAATAAATTTTAATTAATAATTAAAAAAAATCAATTTTCAAAACCT